AAATTTCTTATTTTATAGATCGTCGTCGTAGTCGAAGTCGTGAACATAAACGTCGTATGTATAAAAATTTATTGTTTCGAATTGAAGTCTATTGATTTATGTTTTATTTTGTATTTCAATATAGGTCGAACCCGTTCCCGTTCAAATGAACGTCGTAGTGATCGTCGTTCATCACGCGATCGTCAAGATTCAACAAGACGTCGATCACGTGATCGTGATCGTAATCGTCGTACGAATAATTATCGAGGTGAGAATGAGATGCATAACAATAATGGCAACGGACCATATGATACATTCGGAATAAATGATGCTTATTAAAAAAAAAGTCTGTTCGTGAATATATACCTATGTCTGTGTGTGTATGAAACAATTTGTTTTTTTTTTGTTTTCGTGTATAAAAGCAAAAGAAGATGATTATTTGCTTTTCTTTTTCTCTCGTAACGTCTATTATTTGTGTGTGTGTGTGTGTGTGTTCGTTTTTTTTCTTATACATAAAGTCTCAGTCAACGAATTTGAAATTTTCTTTAATTTTTTAACTAGAGAATGATATATATATATAATTGCAAAGCATTTAAGAATTGAACAAAATTGTTTGAATAGTTTTATCTTTATATAATTAGTTCGATTGATATTGGATAAAAAAAAATGGAGATTTACTCTCAAAACATACAAGACATTAGTTTATAATAACTATCTATTATGTCAACTAAATTCAGACCTTTATTCATAAATATTGAGAGTGGAAAAGAATTTATGCAATAATGCAATAGATGTTAAACTATTTCATGGATTGAAATCATGTGCAATATCGAATGACAATGACTCATACTATCAATTATATCTCATAGAGATTAAAGATTGGGCTAAGTATTGATATTTTCTTTTAATTCATTATTGACCTAATAATTTTTCATTAACATACGACACAACTTTTGAGGACAATATGGATGACAATGTTATTTGAAAATAAGTAGCAAAAAGTATGAAAGAAATCTTGTATCTTTTCTGATAGTTAAATATTCTTCATTGACTATTAATATGTTCTATTTCGTAAATAATATCAATTAAAGACAATTTTTTTGAAAAACAGGGATCTTTACACGTACAGAAAATTAATTGAAAAGTATTTTTTTAATCAAATAGATTGTTTTCGATAGCGTATCGTATAAAAGATCTTTTTCAAATCGTTCACTAATTAATATCAAGTAGAACCCTATTCTAGTTTTTCAATGTCTTTCTTACTCAAGGTTTTATTATTTTTCCCATGGATTATCTTCAATATTTTTATCAATAATATCATAGTAGTAACACATAGAAAATACGACTTATGCTAAACAATTTTGCCATATTGTTTCATCAGACCCTTTAATGTATCCTATTGTAATACAGATAAAACGAACGCCTTTGCAACGAGTTAACTGCAAACATATATATTATTCGGCACGTTCTTTTTCCTACTATGATCACGTGTACTAATGTAGTTTTATAAAAATACAATCATAATAATAACGAAACATGTCTCGACGATCACAATATGATGAAAATAACAAATTTAAAGGTAATATTTTTTTAAATACCGTGAATGAAATGTAATAAAAAATAAAGCTAAAAAAAAACAATCAATTTGTTTTTTAACTTTACCTTATACAAAGGCAAGTTAGTTGAGGTGTTTTTTTTTGGTTTATACATTCGTTATCATTATAAATTTTGGTATGCAATTTCGATAGGATGTTTCTTTCGCTTTCATACGTGTTGTATCTCTCATGTAAATCGGTACATTTTTGTTTATTTTTTTCGTAACACCCACTATCATAGATTAGTTTATTTTTTATGCTATAATTAACTCAAACTTAAAAAAAGAAAACTTAATAATATTTGGTATTTACTTATTTTGATAAATTTATTCGAAATAAAAGACATTTATTGAATTTTATCTTAATTCCAAGAAACATTTGAATTTGGAAAAAAATTTCAATAGAAGTATATCAACAAAACTGATTGAAGTGAATTATTCCGACGAAATTTAAAGTTTATTATATCTTTTAAGTATTCAGTCGTACATCCTTAAAGCTATAGAAGGCATTCTAACTTTGGAAAGAAGAAATATGGGAATTATAAACAGAAATTCGTATTGAAATACAACGTAAGACAATAGTTTTATAAGAAATAATCCGAAAGTGAATTATATTTTCTCTTTATAGACCATAAGAATTAGAGCAGAACTTCATAAAAGGATAAAAAGTAATTTTATAATGTAAAATATCTTCCAGAATAGACAATATTTGATATAGATGTATTAAAAAATTAAAATCACTTAAAAAGTATTTCAGAGAAAAATTAGAAGAATATTATTGAAAATTCAACTAAGAAGCATTAATCTCGTTATATAAAATCAATAGTTTTCTTATTCCTACATCCATCTTGAATACTTCTACTTATGAGGATATTAACCCGAAAAACTTTTTGATACATGAGAAATTTTCAATTAGATTAATAATTCTTGAATGTTCAGTAATAAACAAGATGTTTCTCTAGAAATTTTATTACTAACTTAAAAGAAGTACTCTTTCAACATTCAAATAGTCGCAAATACTAATCATTATCTTCTAAGAAGAAAAGATATACTTTAGAACTCATTAAATGTTTGTGACAATCTATAATCTTCTAAAATAATTATTATTGACTGTTAAATTAAAAAAAAAAACAAATACTTCTTTCAAATGTTACCGGAGAAGGTATACCTGTTTTTTTTAAATAAATAATCCTATAGGTTAAATCTTTCACACATGTTTTTTTTAAAACATAATCATGAAAAAAACACACCTTGTGTTTGAAAAATTGAATTTTGTATTATTATTTTAAAATTTGACAATTAAAAATGATTAACAATTGGAAATTTAGAAAACATAATGTTCTTTTTTTTCTTTTGTTTTCTTTTGTTTTTAATTAAAATTATTCAATTGATAATAATCATCAGGATGTTTTACTATGATTATTTGATGATCTATTAATTGATTGAGATTCATTTGTCGTACTCGATGATGAATTTATTTGTTGTATATTAGTATTTAAAGTATCAGTATTTGTTCTATGTGCATCATTTGATAGTAATACATTTGTATTTAATTGATTATTATAATTACTATTTGTATTACTATCATCTTGAACTTCTAGAAATATGATATTGAATGAAACAATGAACATATATAATGTACTAGGTGGGTAAAAGTATTATTCCAGGTGAGTAAAGTTATGATTGCGAATAGAAGACATAATGGATTCTATATCAAATGAAAGCTCGTCAAAAGTGAGGTTTACAAAAGTTTTTTAATATCGAACTTAAGAAACTTTCAGAAATTTTACGCTTTTCTTTTTGTTGTGGGAAAGTAAGATGACAGTAATTTAAAAATCGAGTAAAATGATTTTTCTTGAATATTTTTACATAGTTCGATTGAGCTCGTCGAGTTCTACAAAACAGTATATATTAAAAAATTTTTAAGCTAGTTTTTTGCGATAAAAAATTTAAAAAACTATTTGAAAAGTCTTAAAAAAACGTTAAAAAAACTCATATTTTTTATATGGAAGAAATGTACTGAATGTTTCAATAAAATTAGCTTTTTTAAATTATTTTTACTCCCTCAGACGTTTCGAAATCTACTCATTCGATGCAATTTTTCACGCTGTATCGAATGAGTATGTTTTCAAACACCTTACATAAGAATATTAATGTAAAAAAGACCATTTTTTTCCATATATAAAGTGTAAAAAATGAGGTTTTTGATATATTCTTTAGACCAATTTTCAGTGTATTTTTACCCAGGAACTTTGTTTAAAATTTTTTTAATATATACAGTTTTGTAGAGCTCAACGAGCTCCATCGAACCATGTAAAAATATTCAAGAAAAGTCATTTTACTCGATTTTTGAATTACTGTCATCTTACTTTCCCACCCTAAAAAATAAGTATAAAATTTTTGAAAGTTTCTGAAGTTCGATATTAAAAATTTTTTATAACCCTCACTATTCAGTATCAATAAACCTCACTTTTGACGAACTTTCATTTGATACAAGATTCATAATGTCTTCTATT